GGGCGGAGCAGAGGGCCTGGCCCGGGCGATCCGCATCCCCTCGGCCGCAGGGGCGGTGGGGTGCGGGGGCGGCGCTGCAGGGGTGAGGCCTGGGCCGGCGGGGCGACTGGACCAGGCCCTGCCCCCGGAGCCGGTGGAGGAGCAGAGACGCAGCTGCTGGGAGCGGCCCAACCCCTGCACCGCCCTCTGTCCGGTGGGATTGGCGAGTGCGGCCCCTTCCTCTCCCCTGCCCCTCCTCTCTGAGCACGGAGGGGTGGTTCTGGGGAGGGGGCCCGTGCGAGCACCGGAGTGGGGGCGGGCAGCTAGGGGCCTGGAGGCTCCAGAATCTGCGAGGTCCGGGCAGCGGGGATGCGGGGGCACCAGGGCCGGCGCAGGACAGGCAGGGCAGGGGGACCTGGAGCCAGTCCTCAGGGAGAGGTCTGGCCAGGGTGTGGGGGAGGGGTGGTCAGGCCCTGGCTCTGGCTTCCTGGGGCAGGGGCTGGGGCTCCCTCTGTGAGCTCCGTCGGGATGGGGTCTGTCCCGGCACCCCCAGCCCTCAGCCCAGGTTTGATGAGTGACTGAGGGAGCGAGAGCGCCGTGGAGTGGATGGGGAGGAAAGGGTTAGCGACGCAGCGGCTATTTGGCTATTTGGCCCGGCCAAAGGCTGGAAGGAAATTCCCAGGCAACCGCTCGCTGCAGCCACGGGAGGCCCGGGTTGAGGGGGGCTTCTTGGGTCAAGCGTGTCCACCCAGTGGGGATGAGAACAGTGAGTGTGTGGGTAGAGGCAGGGGCATAGGCCATGACCCCCCAGGCACCCTCTACCTGAGCTGTCCCTCAGAGAGGTTGGGGGTCCTGTGTGTGACTGCGGGGACCCCTGGGAGGCGGGTGCTGGGTGGGGCAGCAGCTGTGATGAGGGCAGGGGTCGGGGTGCAGATTTGGAGGAGGGCTCCTTTCCGGGTCAGTGGGGGCTGCGGTGTCACCAGGGGCAGGCTGAGCACTCGCTCCACAGTCACGGGTGACATTAAATTTTATGTCCTTGTCTAGACAGGGCAGTAAACAGAGCCCCGGGGCCGGGGGTGATGTGGAGGGGGGTGGGGGGCCTGGCTGGGAGTGAGACTGCCAGTGACTTTCAGGCAGGTGAGGGCGGGCAGGCAGACCTCCACTGTGCCCCGGGTGTGCACCCAGGGTGTGGGGACCCGCAGTCTGGTGTGGGACTCCAACCAGCAGCCATGACAAACAGTGCCAGGGACGTGAGAGGTCCAGGGGAGTGCGGGGCCCAAAGGGTGCCCAGGTGCGCGGTAGCGGAGGGTGGGATTCCTGAGATGCCCTGAAGGTGCAGGGGGAGGGAGGGACAGGGGGGCCACCCCCCCAGTGAGCAGGGCAGGTCGGGGGCAGTGTACAGGGCAGGGGCTGCGGCCAGGACGCGAGCCTCCGAAGGCAATGGGAGCCAGGGTGGGAGCAGGGCAGACAATGGTCCACACAGCCTGTGGAGGATGGACCGGAGGGGAGACTGAGTCTGCTGGGGCAGAGAGGCGAGCTGGTGGGGCTGCAAGACAGGGGTGGGAGGCACGGAGAGGCTTGTGGGATGGAATCCTCAGGACTTGGATGACTCTCAGTCCTGGATCAGAAAACTCGCCCAGAGCCCCAGCTCCCGGGATGGGGCCTGGACCTCCGCGGGCCGCCGGCACTCCCTGAGCAGAGCGGAGGGCGCGGGCCCGCCTCTCCGCCCCCCAGTGCGGCGCCGGGGTAGAGAGGACACCCGAGCCGCCGGGAGAACGGCTTCGGGCCGGCAGCCCGGGCGTGGGGCCCACCAGGGACAAACCACCGGGGCCCCGGGAACGCGCGCGGCGGGGAGAAACCACTTCCGTTCCTTTTCCTTCCTGGCGGTGGCGGGAATGAGGTCTCGGGTCTCAGGTGAGGCTGCAGCGCCCCCTGGAGGCCCCGCTCCCGACTCCCGGTCCCCCCGGCGCGCCTCAGCGCCTGCGTGCGAGAGAGGCCTCGGGCGCCGCGCACCGGGACAGCGCCCCGCGTAGGAGGCACATCGCGGGGGTTTGGGGATCAATCCCCGGACCGCACCCTCACTCTGTCTCTTCTGGTCTTCCCAGGTTCCTGAGCTCGCCGCTCGGGAGCAGTGGTGCCCTCGGGACAGCAGGACAGGCCCCGCTGCGCCATGCCCGCGGGCTGAGCGCCGCCGCCGCAGGGCCTCGTCCCGCCTCGCGTGGGGGCCGCGCGCGCCCAGGCCGAGGCCCCGGCGGCCCACCATGGTGCTGCCGCCCCCGGACCGGCGCCACGTGTGCCTGACTACGCTGGTGATCATGGGCAGCATGGCGGTCATGGACGCGTACCTGGTGGAGCAGAACCAGGGCCCGCGCAAGATCGGCGTGTGCATCATCGTGCTGGTGGGCGACGTGTGCTTCCTGCTGGTGCTGCGCTACGTGGCCGTGTGGGTGGGCGCCGAGGTGCGCACGGCCAAGCGCGGCTACGCCATGATCCTCTGGTTCCTCTACGTCTTCGTGCTGGAGATCAAGCTCTACTTCATCTTCCAGAACTACAAGGCGGCGCGGCGCGGCGCGGCCGACCCGGTGGCGCGCAAGGCGCTGACGCTGCTGCTGTCAGTGTGCGTGCCCGGCCTCTTCCTGCTGCTGGTGGCGCTCGACCGCATGGAGTACGTGCGCACCTTCCGCAAGCGCGAGGACCTGCGCGGCCGCCTCTTCTGGGTGGCGCTGGACCTGCTGGACCTGCTGGACATGCAGGCCAACCTGTGGGAGCCGCCGCGCACCGGGCTGCCGCTGTGGGCCGAGGGCCTCACCTTCTTCTACTGCTACATGCTGCTGCTGGTGCTGCCGTGCGTGGCGCTCAGCGAGGTCAGCATGCAGGGCGAGCACATCGCGCCGCAGAAGATGATGCTCTACCCGGTGCTCAGCCTCGCCACCGTCAACGTGGTGGCCGTGCTGGCGCGCGCCGCCAACATGGCGCTCTTCCGCGACAGCCGCGTCTCGGCCATCTTCGTCGGCAAGAACGTGGTGGCGCTCGCCACCAAGGCCTGCACTTTCCTCGAGTACCGCCGCCAGGTGCGCGACTTCCCGCCACCTGCGCTCTCGCTGGAGCTGCAGCCGCCGCCCCCGCAGCGCAACTCGGTGCGGCGTCCCCCGCCACTGCATGGCCCGCCGGGCCGCCCCCACGGGCCCTCGCCCACGCGCGACGCCCTGGACACGTGACAGGGCCCACACGGCCCCTGGGGACGCCCCCGGGGCGCCGAGACTCGAGACTCGGGGCTGGCGGGGTGCGAGTTTTGCATGGGATGGGGTGGGGGCGGGCTCCCCACGGGGCCAGGTTCGGTGAGTGCCGGTGCCGGGGCCCGCGGCCGCTTCTTCATCTCAGGAATCCCTCGGACCACGGACCCTCAGCCCCCGCTCCGCCAGCCCACCCCAGCGCGTGGGCCAGTGTGTGCTGCCTGGGCTGGAGCGGAAGGGGCCCCACCCCTGCCTGCTGGGGGCCTGGGTGGGAAGGGAGGAAAGAGTGGGCGGAGGTCTGGTCCCTTGGGGTCTCTCGGTGGGGGCCTCGGGCTCAGAGTTTGGGGCCAAGGAGGCCTCTGTCATTTTAAAGACTCGTGTTTACAGTTTTGTATCCAAAGTCACACTGCTCTGCCTGTTTGATGCGTCCTATTCTGACGGCTGATGGAGGAGGAGGCGGGAGGAAGGGGTGTGAGTGAGTGAGGCGGTGGGGCTGGGCCAGTCCACCTCCCGGGCCTCCGCCCGGGCGCCTCTCAGGAGCTCCTGGGTGGGGGACCATTGCTGCCCTGTCCCAGAGACACCGTCCCTCCAACTTCAGTGTCCCCACCGCCAGAGGTACCATAATCCTGACTCTTCCTGAGACACCTTAACCCTATCCATCACCCCAGGAGTGCTGGCCCCATGTCCCTGCCCCCACACTGCAGACCCAGAAGTGCCCCCAAGCCCCTGGTTCTCTCCTCCGGTGCCCGGGGCTACCCCAGCTCAGGACAGCCAGAAGCCAGATGGGTCCTGGCTCTGCTAACGGGTGCACGCTGCAGCCTAGGCCAGGAGCGTGGAGCCTTGGCCCACCTCACGAGACACCCGTGGAGGCCTCGTAGGCGGAGAGGACACCTTTGGCCGGCTGATCTGTGGCAGAGAGCACAAGGCATTGAAGCCCATCTGCGGGGGGTCTCCCGCCTGGCCCCTGCACTTGTGATGCTGGGACAGTGTCTGTACCATCCAGGAGGCGCCTTTACCTCGGCGTTATGAGGCTGTTGACATGGCGATTTGAGGATGCTTTGCACGACGACCTGGTGATGGTTACACACATTCCTCAGGTGGCACGCGTGGCATTGTGGAGCCCCGTGGTGAGCGAGCACATGCTCCCTGTATTCGCCTGCACTTCCCGATGGCAAGTCCCGCCCTCCCTGCCGCCCGACCCACGTGTCCATAACCGGCGGCTCCCGGAAGGGCGGGAGCTGGCAGGCTGAGCGGGTCCTGGCTAAGCCCCCTTCCCACCAACCGCTGCAGGTCAGGGCGTGGCTGGCGTCCTCGCCCTCCAAGCGCGCCCCTGGCCCCGCCCTCTGGCTGCGCCCTCGGCTGCACCTCTGTGCGTGGGGAGCCCCCATGGGGGGCAGGAGGCTGCCCCTCCTCGGCAGCCTCGTTGGCAAGTGGAGGGGGAGGGAAGGGGGAGGGTGAGGTGCGAGGGAGCCGCACGGGAAAGGCCGAGCAGGCGACAGTGTGAGGGGCTCCAAGGAGTCCGCGGACGCGGGTGGGGTGGGGGATGGGCATGCGGTGGTCTGGGGACTGTGTGGTCTGGGGAGGGGGCGGTGGGTGAGGCCTGCAGGGCCAGCTCCTATCTGAGTGTTGGGCCTGAGCCTGTCCCTTCCTCCCTCCGAGGTCAGTGCTGGCCATCCTGTCCCCACCTGGCATGTCGCTGGGGATGGACGGCTGGGAGAATGGGATCAGAGAGGGTCTATTGTGCTGCCCCTCCCTACTGCCTGTTATGATGCTTCCCCTCCCGGCCTCTTCCCAGTGGAGCCCCTTGCTGGCCCTTGTGGGGTCAGCTTTGCCCTGGTATCAGAGGTGGGAACTGGTATCCCCAAGCTTGGCTGTGTCCCGGGGCAGAGAAGGTGACCCTGGGGCTCACAGACCACCCGGGAACACCCCAGGCCTCCCAGCCTGCCCTCAGCACTGGTTGTCACTTCCCCTCTCTGCCTCCACCAGCCTCCCATGCCAGGGACCCTGGCCCTCCCTGTCCTGACTTGGTTTAATGGCCCATGTGCCCCTCCGACTGTGTCTCTGAGGGCATCTGAACAGACGTTGAGGATACAAGGGCCCCCTTCCCCCATGAGGCCCATGGCAGGCACCCGCTGTTACTGTGACCTGGGGTGCTACTCCGGCCTCCCCACCACGACCTTTGTGGGGCTCGTGGCCAAAGGTGTCTGCCCTCTGGAGTCTGCCTTGGGAATGGGGTAGGGACCTGGTCACATTCCACCCTGCCCTTCCCTGGCTTCCTGAGGTGGCCTGCGATGGCCAGACGTGACAGAGAAGCTGGATAGTCACCTTGTCCTTCATTGCCTCAGTCATCGGCTCACAGGTCCTGATGGGGTGTCAGCTGCGTGCCTGCCCCACGCGGGCCCTGAGGCTGAGCCCAAGCAGAGGCCGTCCCTGTGCATGTGCAAGGCAGACAGTGGGGTGGCCAGACTGGGGTTGGCACAGGCAGGGGGGGTTCCTGCCGGGAGAAGCAGGGAGACCATCCTCAGGTGGGGAGTCGGGGCCGATGCCTGGGGTGGGAGAGGGAGGGATGGTGGTGGTGGGGCCTGAAAGAAGCATGGTGGGCATTGGGCTGGCAGACAGGGTGGGGGCAGGGGCTTGGGTTTGGGCTCCAAGAGCAGCCGGACCCCCACATCTTGTTCTAAGTGGGGAGCAGTGTGATTAGATCGGTGCTGGAGGAGGTCACTGTGTGGGGACCCCGGCTGGCCCTCGGCAAGAGGTGGTGCCAGCCCAGGAGGTCAGCAGGAAGTGGGGAGCCGCAGGGAGGTGGGGCTGTGGGACTCGGGGACCCACTGGATGTGCGGGTGAGGACAAGGAGGAGACAAGGAGGCACCCCGGCCTGAGCTGCCGGGGGGGGATGTTCACTAACATGGAGGACTGCTGGGCAGGAGGTCACACGGCAGTTTGGGAGGAATCAAGAATTTCGCATAAGACACCCCTGTGGAGACGACAGCTAGGCATTTGGGTGTTGGTGTCCGATTTAGAAGAGGGTCTGGGATTGGGTGGGTCCCCTAGAGAGTAACGAAGTAATGGGCAGAACCCCAGGACTGGCCCAGGAGCCCTCGAGACTTGGAAGGAACTAGCAAAGGAAGCTGGAAGGGCCACAGGCGGCCGGAGTGACAGCTCACAGGGAGCAGAGTGGATGGCTGAGTGGGAGGGGGCGGGTGCCCAGCGTGGGGTGGACAGACATCCGTCAGGTCAACCAGGAGGCAGCTGGTGACTTGACAGGACAGTGTCCGTAGATTGCGGGGTGGACGCTCTGCTTGAGTGAGTTCACAAGAGCGGGAAGGAAAGTGAAGACGTGGTGGCCAGCTCCTTGGGAAGGTTTGGCTTGTGGGTGTGGTCAGTGGGAGAGGAACTGGGCAGTAGGGGTCAAGGTCCTGAGAAGGGGTGTTTCCCAGCGCTGTGCCCCTCTATGGGTTCTAGCTCACCTCTGCCATCTCCAGAGGCCTTTCTCCACTGCAACTCCTCCTCCCAGGCAAGGTCAGAGGCCACCTCCTCACACGTCCTTCCCCCAGACCTCTGGACAAGAGAGTCAATCAAGGGTGGAAAAGAAAACCTGGATATGGTAACAGCTGTTGTGGACAGTGATCTGTGCCAATGCCCCAGAGTGGTATGCGCCCTTCTCCCAACTTGAGCGTCCTGGCCAGAGAGACCCTCATTTCCAGATGCCTGGGGAGCTGGCCCTGCGAGGATCTGAGGTGCTAACCTGAGCCCACCTTGTGTGTCTTATGCCCAGACACGTGTGAGGTCCGGCTGCTGGGCCTTGCTGCTTACTGTGGCACGCTGGGCCCTAGCCCCACCATCACCTGGGGAACCAGGCACCACCAACCCTGTCCTAAGAGAGTCCCAGCCTGGTAGCCTCCTCCAGAGAACTCAGAGTTAGCTAGTTTCTAGGTGGGAAGATCAGATTGTGTTTTGGAGGACATTTGTCTTCTCACTCAGTGTTTGAGGCAGGCCCTCCTGGGGGGCTTCAGCAGCTTGGCCGTACCACGCAGGACCCAGGCTCTTTCCACCTTTCTTTCCCATCTTAGAGGGTTGGCAACGTCTCTCTGGGTCATCCCAAGGGGCCACAACAGCACCGAGCTTCACATCATCTCAAAAACAGCATCCAAGTGTGGAAGGAGAGGGCAGGGGCTCCTCCTTGGGAGTCTCCCTCCTGTTGGTAGGAAAGACTTTCTCAGAAGTCCCCAGCATGGGTCCCCTCAGGTCCTGGGGTCCAGATCTGGCTCCCATGACAGCCCCTGTACTCATGGCTGGCCATGGGGAGTGAGCTACTGTGACTGGTTGGGTCTGGAGTTTGCCTGCATCCTGGATGCCAGCAGAAGACATGAGACTCCTGGATCCGAGACAAAGGACTTCGTTACTTACGGTGCAGCACTAGCACCCTCATGCTTATGTTGGTTTCTCTGCCCATAAGTCCTATAGGGTGATGCGGCACACAGCTGACAGTGCTCGCTTTCCCTCTGACGATACCCAGGAGGCTCTGATGTGGCATCAGAAATACTGCAGCATGGGCCCAGTTCCCCCACAGGAGCTGTGAGCTCCCCCCACAGTAAAAGCCACAGTCATGATCAGTCCCATTGCTAAGATTTTCTACATAATGCCAGCATATATTTAAGTCCCCACTGAAATGTCCAATGAAACCCACACAAAGGCAGCCCATTCTCCAGGTCCGTGTCAGCATGTCAATCGCTTCCCTTCTGAGGTGGTCCCAACAGCAAGACTCAAGCCGCTCCTGAGACCTTGGGAAGTTCTGTGGTGTCCCACAGCCCAGGGCCAGCCCTGAGCAAAGTCCCACCCACCCACCATCCCTGGAGGGTGAGGGACCTCCGTGTCCGCCTTCCTCCTCCTGGAACAGTGGGGTCAGACGCACCTTCACCTGCTCGCGGGGAACACGAGTCAGTTACCTCACACCACAGACACGGATCGGTCACTCAAAAAGGCGAAAGAGCTTTGAAGTTCTGACCCTTCATCTGCCGTTCCAAAGCACATTCACATTTTCTGCAGCAAAATAGGCTCATGATGGTGATAACCCAATTTCGCAAAATTGAACCCACTCATCTTAAGTAACATCTAAAACTTCACATTGTCAGATTCATTTTGTCCAGTAAGGTAACAGAGATCCACTAATTGAAAAGCCCAGAGGAAGAGTCGTCCTCATGGCCCAGGTTAGGATGGCCGCCATTTCTTCTGCTTTTGGGGAGTACTTTCTGCTGATGGTCCCAGGCTGAGGAAGGAAAGGAGGCTGCAAAGTCACACTGCCACCATGACTGAAGCAAGTGGCCTAATTTGTGGTAAAAACAAGGTAATGCCATTTAACCAGAGAAAGACCAAGAAAAAAAAAAACAGTCAGAGGACCT